CATTTTAATGGAAAGTAGGGATCGTTGGTTATTCTTAGAATTGCTATAAGAAGTAACCAGAACAAAATAAATGCTGCAATAAAAAGTACACAAACAAGTAAAGTGATACTAGTTGGTTAGGTTTTAAAATGATTTTCAATCCCTACTTTGGTTGGCAAATTTAGACTGCTTCATTTAGCTATAAGCATCACAATGCCAACCAAAGTAGGTATTGAAAATCATTTTAAAATCTTACCCACTAGTATCACTCTACTTGTTTGTGTATTTTTATTGCAATATATATATTGTTCTGGATACTTCTAATAACAATTCTAAGAATAACCAACGATCCCTACTTTAATTTTGTTTTCCTATTTATTTGTTCAGTTTTTATATGTTCTTGGAATGGATACAACATCTATAATATTTTAGTATAGCCATATTTCTGGTAGTTATAACTTTTACAAGAATTAAAACCACAATCACAAATTTATAAAATGTAATCCTTACTTAGGCCTACAGATAAGTGTATAAAGCTGCCAAGGTATGGATTAAATTTTATAAATTTGTGATTATGATTTTAATTCTTGTTTCATTACTTTTTGTAGCAGGATTCCTACTTCATATTAAAATTAAAATTATTTCAATACTCTTGTTTGTTTACTTTCTATGTTATACCTGTATACAATATATACTTTACTTTTAGAAACTGTCACGTGTATCCATCGATATGTAGCGCCATCTGTTGGGTTGAAAAGATATTTAAGTACATGCACCATATGTTTACCATTTATAAAAAATCTGTTTATATTTAGCGGAGTATCAAAATCTGATACCCACAGACCAGTCAAGTAAGCTAAAGAAATCTTCTAGCAATAGTCCGAGACGTCTAGGCGCTAGCCCCACTGACATGATCATGTAGGTAGTAGATGACAAAATTGCTGTTTTAGAAATTTTTGAATTGTTATACCGGAAACGTTAGCTACATTTTTAGCATATTATTAGTAAATATGCACATATTCTATCTTAATCAATACTTTGAATGGTTGGCTTTTCACTTACAAAGTTAATAGGGTGCTTTTTCGGCACATGAATTATTTGGAAACTTTGTCAACCCCTACTATTAAGTACTACTGTACTCAATAATTATATGTCAATAAACTTGGCATCAGATTGTAGTTCATAATTCAAATTTTTCTATTATCCAAGTTTTAATTTCTTTATTTCAAAATGAAACATCTATAAAATTCTAAATCTTCCCTATGTATTGTCATGCAACATTCATATGTTCTCGTTTTCTCTTTTAATTTTCAATATCATAGATTCTACAGTGTATATAAACATAAGCCATAAATAATGACAAGGTCAAGTGTACATTTTTAACATCCAACTTCACCATTTGTTGAGATATATTTTCCAAACAACAACAGAAGTACAACCTGTCTATCCTCAACTTTCAAGACAGTTTACAAACCATGTGTTCTTATTTGATGCACCATGTTATGCCCAATATAAAGGGGTTTTTCTCTGTTTTAGTCTTTCAACCCCCCTTTCAAAGTTGGTGTCAACAGACATTAGCCGAGAGGAAGTAATTTATGTATGTGTAAGCAGAGTTATTGCTTATAGCAGTAATGAATTTTTTTTTACCCTATTTATAATTTAGAAAGCCAGTTAAATACCAGTAGTTTTTGGGACACTTTATTCTAATAACTAATATATTTTTTGAAAGGTACAAGAATTTTTGTTCAGACAATGAACTTGAAGGAAAAAAAACTAGGCCTATTTCGTTATTTGTTCAAGTGCACAATCTTATCTCCTGCGTCCAAGAATCTGCTCGTGTGTTCTCACCGTGATGTTTTGGCTTTCACAGAAAAATGAACTGCTTATATGGTATAAGCCAGGCAATAAAACCACAAAGTTGAAATAAAATCCATGTGAAAAGATTAACAGTTGAAACTGTGATTACCATTAACTGAAGACATGGCAGCAAATGATACATTCAAAGAAGGAAAAAGGGTAATATTCATAACTTTCAAATTATCATTTCACTGTAGATTGATAACTTAGCAACATTTATTGTTAGGTAGAGAGAATAACAGATAAAACATAAAGCTTTAATTCTGGTATTCATTTAACCCTATCCTTTACTGTGTATGATACAAAGTTTCAGTGTCTTATATTCAAAATGTTATTAAACTACTTTTTGTTTATGTTAGTATAGCATAAAATCTTAGCTAATAACCCATATTTTAATAGTATATAGTAAGGCAATGTTAATAAAAAAAAACATGAATTTCCCCTAGTGTGACACACGAAGCACATTTTCTCTAGGCATTTTCTTTTCTCTATTTTATCCACCACCGCTCCAAAAAAGTACAAAATTAAGAAAAAATTACTCACTATAAAATTGTCATTGCTCAGACAAACCATAATTTTATAGCCATCAGTTTTGTTTGGTTACAGAGCTATCATATAGACCCCCTCCTGCCACAACCACTCTTTCAGAATTTGTTTATAGTTCTCTCTTATGTTTAATTATTAGTTACATATAACCAATAGAAAGCAAAGGTTTTCATCTATCAAATGACGTATTGTATAACGTTGTTTTCTGAACAGATAATCATCAATTTCACTCAAGAGTACGAGCTCTGTTCCCATGGGAACTAACTTGGATGACTTTTTAACAGTTCTTGTTGCATAGTTAGAAAGCCAGAAAAATTGAGTTAGGGGATATTATCTACTTTTTGCATGTTATTATAGTCTATGTTCTTTGGTGCATTATTTAATTAAATAAAAATTATATAGGGCATTACTATCATTAGTATGAAAAAGTAGGATTAAGGGTCATCAACAATTGACAGCAAGAAAAATGATTGGGTAAGTACTCTGTTTCTTGTTTTTCATGTGTATTCTTTATTTATTATTATAAAGGTAACTAAAATGTAAAAATAGGAATCTTTTTAGATTAGTTAAGATTAAATTAAGTAAAATAATTAATAATAATAATATAATAAACATGATTCATGAGGCATGCAAGCGAGCAGCTTGTGGGTAATGTAATTTAATAGTGTAACATGAGCTGCATGTTCCCCAAGTGATTTACAACTTACAATGGTGTGAATAATAGTTAGACACGATTCAAAAGGCAATAAAACTCAACTATAAATAGATAAATGAACGTAGTTTTACGCTACATTTCAAGTCATTCTAGAAAGAAAAAAGGGTAATTTAGATTTATTTCGATATTTTGGGGGGAGGGGTACGAGGTCAGTCAAACTGGCCAACCTTGTATAGAGTCAGGGTAGAAAAAATAACATAAAATATAGTTTTACTGAAAACAAAACATTTGAAATGTATTTAGGTTTTTGAAACTACACATCTCATCTCAAAAATCTCAAATTTTATTTGTGCAATTGCTAAAACCTCCTAAACAAATTTCAAATGGTTTTTCCAGTAAAACTTTATATCTTATCTGTTATTTTCTCTACCGTAACTTTACACAAAGATGGTCAACTTGACCGACCTTGTAACCACTGAGAAAAATAAATCTAAATTACCCTTTTTTTCTTTCTAGAATGACTTCAAATTGTAACATGAAACTACATTTTATCCTAAATAAGTTTAAACTCATAACAGCATACATCTATTTATACTTAAATTTGATTTCCCTTTGAACCTTGTGTAGTTACTATTCATGCCATTATAAGTTGTAAATCACTTGGTCAACATTCAGCTCAAGTTATGCTGTCACATTACATTATGCATGAGCTATTCGCAAGCATACCATGTGAAAAATTATATTATTATTCATTTCACCTAATCTAACCTTAACTAATATAAAAAGGTTTATATTTTTACATTATAGTTAATTTTCTAATAATAAATAAAGAACATATATGAAAAACAAGAAATATA